CCACAGACAAATTTCATAGTCTCGGGATTATTAAACCTATGGATTTTCTATGCTCTAGTCTGCTGGTATTTGCATTGGTGGCAATAGAAAGGTCATATGGATTTTCTGTCTATCAACACCAATTATCCATATGATGCTGACAATTTCTAGTTTATTTATTGCTGTATTCCTAAGCCTGGCAAAGTATTTGGCACATTTACATGATGTAATTTATATCTTTTTGTTTTTAATATATATTTTTCTGAAAATTGTAGATAAAATTGTTTGAAAATTAATTCAGAATGCAATAGGACAACTTGTTCTTTTATGAAATTCATCTATGAGTTCTCCATTATGTATATCATTGTAGGTTTTTGGTATGTACTTTATCAAGCTAAGGAACTTTCCTTTTAGTCCTAATTTTCTAAGACCTATTTTTTAAAATTGTAAGTAGATATTGAACTTTATCAAATAGTTAGACATTGATTGAAGTATGTCATATTTTTTTCTTCTACAGTTCATCAGTGTGGTGAATTACATTGTTAAGTTTTCTAATAGTAAACCATCCTTGCATTCCTGGGTTAAATCCTGTTTATTATGATATATAATTATTATGTCATGATATATTATAATTTGTTAATGCACTATTGAATTCCACAAACTAATATTTTATTTAGGATTTTTAAATCTATGTTCACAAATTAAATGATTTGCAATTTTCTTACATTGACCTTATCTAGTTTTAGAATCAAACATTTTATTTGTAAACTTTCTTCTTTTTTTGTCATAACTATAGCATTACACTGTTGGATATTTTAAAATATTTGAGTTAAATCTAGGAAGCTATAATTGGTGATCGCAATCCTGTCATATTCATTATCGTTACTGTACTGTTAGAGTTTATCCTGTCATCTTATTTCTATTTTCAATTCCATTTAAAAAATACCCACTTCTTGTTTTCCATAGAAAGGTCCACATTTTCTTTAGCTGATTTAAAAATGGAACATTCTATTTCTGTTTTTATAGTAAGAACAAAAGTGGTGACTGCCTCTTACTTCACCATTGCACTTAGGCTTATTTTCTGTTACGATTTCTTAAATTTGTGGATAGCTCTACAGATTGAACATTCTAATCTGAAAATCCAAAATCTGAAATGCTCCCCAAATCAGAAATTTTTTGAGTATTGACATGACATTGCAAGTGGAAAATTCCACACCTGACCGCACGTGACAGGTCACAGTCAAAATGCAGGTGCACTGAAAATATTGTGTAAAATTACAAGGTGTATATGAAACATAAATGAATTTCATGTTTAGACTTGGGTTCCATTCTGTATGGACTCCATTCTGGGCTCATTATGTACATGCCAATATTCCAAAATCTGAAGAAAATCTGAAACTTGAAACACTTTTGGTCCTACACATTTAAAATAAGGGATACTCAACCTGTACTTTCTTCTTCTTTTTAAATTTTTATTGTTTTATTATTCATATGTGCATACAAGGCTTGGGTCATTTCTCCCCCCTGCCCCCACCCCCTCCCTTACCACCCACTCCGCCCCCTCCCTCTCCCCCCCACCCCCTCCATACCCAGCAGAAACTATTTTGCCCTTATTTCTAATTTTGTTGAAGAGAGAGTATAAGCAATAATAGGAAGGACCAAGGGTTTTTGCTAGTTGAGATAAGGATAGCTATACAGGGCATTGACTCACATTAATTTCCTGTGCATGTGTGTTACCTTCTAGGTTAATTCTTCTTGATCTAACCTTTTCTCTAGTTCCTGGTCCCCTTCTCCTGTTGGCCTCAGTTGCTTTTAAGGTATCTGCTTTAGTTTCTCTGTGTTGAAGGCAACAAATGCTAGCTAATTTTTTAGGTGTCTTACCTATCCTCACCCCTCCCTTGTGTGCTCTCGCTTTTATCATGTGCTCAAAGTCCAATCCCATTGTTGTGTTTGCCCTTGATCTAATGTCTGCATATGAAGGAGAACATATGAGTTTTGGTCTTTTGGGCCAGGCTAATCTCACTCAGAATGATGTTCTCCAATTCCATCCATTTACCAGTGAATGACAACATTTTGTCTTCTTTATATAACAAAAACTTTAGTGTGATTAACTATCCCTTTGATTTCCTCTAGAGCCACATATCATACGATTAAATCAAATATAATGTAGATGTCCCCTGGACACTTGTGCAAGCATGTTGATATTTTTTTAGATATTTTTTTCTGGGCTTTTTTATTGAATTTTCTGTTTCCAGTTTTTAGAAAATTCCTGTAATAAACTTGAGCCAAGTACTTGATGAACTTTTGTTCTGGTATTTCTTAAAGCATTCTCCTAGGTAGCCCTTTTAATTTGAATACTTCCTCTAAAAGCAATTTTAATGTAAGGCCTTGTAGGTCTGAGGATATATTTGGATGACAGTTTGGCTGGATTTAAAGTTACAGGTTCAATGTTCTCTTTCCTCAATGTTTTGAAAATGTTTCTTCATTGTGTGCAATCTAGTTTTGCTGTGAAGTGTACTATAATTATAATTCTTGGTCCTTAGCTGTTAGTATACTCTTTTTCTCAGTGTTAGTTGTTTTAAAACTCCATTATCGTGTGTTCAGGTGTTAGTTTTTCTTTACTTCTATTATTTGACTGTCTCTGCTGATATACAAAATCTGATTCATTGGCGAGCCTCTGGGTTCTCTCTCTCCTCTTTTCCAGAGAACAGGAATTTATCCCAGAGGATATAAACCTCAAATAATCTGCTCAAGGTTTTAATGATAGTGATCCATTATTACTAAGAATAAACAGACATTTGGCTTTCACTGATTCGAACTTAATCAAGATCTGTTAGTATAATTACTTAGAACTCTGGGTCTTGTCAGATGAACGTGAGTCTGACACCTAGCATATCACCTAATATTCTTGTGACATTGGGCAAATTAAATTTCCTAAGCCTTTGTTTCTTGGAACAATCAGACGAAGTTTTCTCACTTAGTTATATATAGACTAGATTAATGTATATTAGGCTTAACATAATGCACAGTAAGTAGTTATTATCATTATTATTACTTCATGCAAATTGTTGTGTAAGGCCTGTGGGGAGAAACAGAGATGAATAAGAAAACTTTCATAATTTCATGGACTTGGGCTGAATGAGACAGATAACTAAAATACGAGCAATGTGAAAGAGGCCCCAAACAGGGTTCATATCCTCCTAAAAATCTATGAGACATTTAGAGAACCACGTGTTCATTTTATAAACGTGGAAACAGAGACTAGAAGAGTTATGTGATTTGTTTAAGAAGACACAGCCAGTGAGTGGCAATGCTTTGAGGGAAACCTATGTCTCTAGGAGCTAAGCCAGGCCTGGATGTGCCAGTATTACCAGAGGAAACTTCTCTAATAGTCCCAAGGCCTTGTGATGCACCAGGCCTGGCTGTGGCATGCGGCCTCTGTAGCATGGGCCCCCTATTATCCTGAAGTTCAGAGGCTTTGGGTAAGGGCTCGTAACTCAACCAGGAGATAGGCTTCTCTGTCTTTAGAATGAATTGCTGCTGTGAACATTCCTCCTCAAGAACTGTCCTCAATCCAACAACCCATTAGAGATAGTAATTCATAACTTCACTGAAGAACTTTTATAGGAGGTGGTGGGGGGATCAGCATACAATAGATCCTGAGTGAGGCACTTGAGTGACAAAGATGAAAACTCTCTGAGGGACCTACAGAGTCAGGCAATAATTTACCATCATTTAGCTAAGAGACAAAGTGCTTTCACCAACAAAAAGCTGGACCTTTATAAATGAAGAGGTGATTTTCAGATGAGGAGGACAGCAAGGTTAAATAGGAAATTGCATGGATGCCCAGTGGTGTGTAAAGGGTACTGGCAGTCAGTGGAAGAAGGGCAGTGGGAGATGCAGCTGGAGAGGAAGGCAAGGGCTTGATTGTGTGGCTCAGCTCTGTGGCTGAATAGAGAAGGTGAAAGCTTCTTAAACTGGAGAAGAGCAGGATGTACAAGATATCTTTGAGGGTGTTTGGGGGGCAGAGCAGCAAGGTCCCAGGCTTGCCTTATCTGGGGTCATAGCCATATGGTCATGGTCTTGACCCCAACTGATTGGGTCACTGGAACTCAGCATTTGGGCTTCACATATACAGCGGCAGAAGGCTTCCAAACTGGGAAGGAGCCCATGGCCTTAGACACTATAAACTCACTACAACTTCTTCTTGGAGAGGTTTCTTGTTAATCAGGTGGAGACATTAGGAGAGAGACCCAGTTTCTACTGCACCAACAAGTCCCCTTTGAGAAACCAGTTCCATTTAACGAGCAGGAATGTCTTCTCCTTTCTTCTCTGAGTTAGTTGGCCCTTTTCTCTGTGGCCATATCAACCATCAGAATCAGCAAACCCCATATTTAAGCAAAATTAAGCCTTGCCATTTTGGTGGGGACTGGGACGAGGGGAGGGGTCACTGAATTTCAAAGTGGAATAAACAGAAAAGCAGTATTAAAAGAATGAGGAGGTTGTTTAGTGAGGCTTGAAGGAAGGACAGGTGTTTCCTCCCTTGTTAAGAATCAGTGACCCCTGGGAATTGCATTTCCTGTTGAGCAGGCGCCCATGGTGGTCTGAGTCTTCCCTGTGTTCTGGTGGTGTGGAGCCCTGTATGAGCACCAGAGAACTCCCAGTGTTTTTCAGAGGGTCTTTTGGGGGTCCTCACTGTGGGAGGAGGTCCAAGACTTGACGTGGTACTTGCACCATTTGCACTCATACACACCCTGACAGCCATACCCTCAGTGGCTGTGTGTGAATGGTCATGGCCTCCTGTGCTGTGTGGTTGTTAGTCCCAGCTGGCTGGCTCCATGCATGAAGCATGAAGCACTCTGCAGCTGGGGGGCCTCTGAGGGCGCACACAGTGGGGTGACAGGCAGGGTTGCTGAAGAAAACGCGCCCCATGCCTGGGGTGGGAGGATGTGATGACGCAGCCCCACGCAGCGGGAACTCAGGCCTTTAAAAAGCCCAGGAAACAGCCTCAGAGCAAGCGGTGGCTCCACTGGAGGAAGCACACCCAGGTCTCACATTAAAGAAGCCAAACTGTCTGCTTCAAAGAGAAAAGGTCACATCCTGTCACAGGCCATGCTCTGGCAAAAACGTAAGTGGTTTGGCTGCGGCTGTCAGAGCCAAGTAAGCAGAGGCAGGGCCTGGAGAGCTTGGGTTGCCCAGGAATCGGGGAGCTGCCGGGTGATGGGGACTTAGGGCATGGGTTCCAAGCCGAGGGAGGTGGGAGGGGCGAAGTGGGCGAGATGGAGCCTGGTGGAGAAACCCACCTGTCAGAGGTGATGCTGACTTTCCAGGCTGGAGGGGAACGAACTAGTGTCCCAAGGCTCATCACATCTCCATCCTGTGCATGAATCACTGTGGTGAACAAAGGGCAGTTTATGATTCACAAGACAGAAGCCAACTACGATATGGGTTTGGGGCTGGGAGGGGAACACACAGGGCTTTATTTTTATAGACAGCCTGTTGTGCAAGCCGTGGGCCTGTTTGTAGCTGAGTTGCTTAGTCTTCTGCAGGAGGTGATTTGTTTCTGTGGATGTGTTGGGATGGGGTGGAAATCTGGTTGTGTGAACCATGTCTTCGCTGCTTTGCTTTCTTGCCTCTTGTAGCTCTTTTTCCCATTTTGTGGCAAGGTAGGTTGTATATCCTGCTTCAAAGGGGCAGCAGATTTATCTTTGACCTTGGTTTTTATCCCTGGAGTTGAATGGAACAACTGTGAACTTTATTTTCCATTCTGTAGATCAAACGGAGACTTGTGTTATTAGTAATTGAAGTGATATAGCCATGATCTACAACATTCCTTTCATGAGGTAAACAAAGTCAACTCAGTGGTCTCATGAGAGTTGAAACTCATTAGGGCTCAGTTCCAGACTTCCTCAAGCAAGAAGTAGTATCAAAAGTTGACCTATGTTTCTTTTTAAGGGGCTTAATTTCTTTCAAATGCCTTTTGATAAGTTCAGGTATACCCTATCTCAAGCAAATTTAACATAAGAGAATGCAGATTTATAGAAAACAGATAAATCAAAGAAGTATTTATTTGATAAGAAATAGAACTGAAAACACAACTTCATTGATTAAATGTAACTTACAATCACAATGTCACCAATTCATTGTTTTCTTTTCTGTGTGTGTGTGTGTGTGTGTGTGTGTGTGTAAATTCTCTGGAATCAAGCTTGTTAATGTGTGACTCAAGAGAATGATTAAAAATTTTCTCAGGTTAAGAAGTCCCATCATGGATACTAGCAAGATGCATTTTTAAAATAAAAATAACTGAACTTTAATTAGGGCTTGATAGCTATGGTCTTTTAAAATAATTAGGAGTATTCCAGATTGGATGGTGTGATACTCCTACCAGAAGGAGGACGGAGCAAGACCCCATCTTTCTGGGAGCAATGACAGCTATCACCATTGGCAGTGCTATGCAGATGACAGCAGGAGGGACTTCATGTCTTTGCTGGTGGGGTCTAAGCAACCATATGCCCCGTGCTGAATCATTTGGGTTTTGTGTGAGCCCCCTTTTAATTCTTAGGGTTCTCTTATTTAAAACAGGGATAAGAAATAATCCTATTCCACAAAGCTGTCCTTAGTAAACATGGTGCCACCAAAATGCCACTAACTGTTCTGATTCTGCATCAGCATCTGAGACATGGGTTGCTTCCCTGAATATATAAGCTACCACGTTCTTATTCTTCAGTATGCACGACATTTTCTTCTCATGCCTCTGAAGTGATAAATTGTTTAGTTTTTAAGAAGTGGTTGTTTGAGGGAATACTTCTGTCTGATACCCCAGGGGCCAGCCAGGTACAGCAAAACCCCATCATAAGGGAGTCCATGTTATAAACTCGTAGTGGAATAACTAGGGTGGATGTTTCCACATGATCAGATGAGCACACATCAAAGTTCTCTGTAATAGTCCTCTGGAGCCTTAAAAAAAATTAAGAAAGACTCTGCACACCAGACCTATTCCCTTACCCTGGACCCAATTCTGTGGTACTCAAGGCACCGGGGTGACTAAACCCTGTGGGAAAACCAGTAAAAACAGGGCGGCATAATCAACCCACTTAGAATCACCCGATGGAAGGGCAGGGTTTGAAATCAGACACCAAGAGTGCTGAAAAGGCACTTTCTTTTTTCAGAAAACACCCTCAAGGCATGAGCTGAAATGACTGTACCCTGGGCTCTGGAAAGGGTTAAGAAAACATTGACTTAGTAAGTGTGGCCTCCTCCCTACCTGGCCCTTGACACTGGTTTGTGGAATGAATGTGAACACGGGCTTGGTTAAGATCAGAGAATTGCATGACAAAGTTGAACTGCTGGCACAGAGAAGTGGAAATCTTCAGGTCCCAGCCATGGATTTGAAGTTTGCTTGACCGGCCAGTTGGATACAGAAGTGGCTCCACCTGCAGATTCTTTCCCTGGGTTCTGCACTCAGTCTTCCTGGTCCCACGTAGGCGAGAACTAACATCTATCCCAACAAATAACAGTGCAGTAGAAACAGCGAGACAGGGTTGGTCTTGACAGTTGGTTCTGCAACTGAGTTGTTTCACCTTTTCACATTCTTCAAAATCTGGAAAATAGGGATTCTGCTGCCTTCCTTACTGTGAGAACTAACGTGGAGAATGTTGGTTAGGTGCTGTTCAGTTCCTTGGTAAGCAGTAAGATAGTATCTTCCCTTCTGGACACTTCCATAAGCCCCGCTGGGTTATGCCAAATTCCTTCCAGTCTATCCTTTTCTATATTTTGATTAGAATAGTTAAATAACTCCAATGAAAATATTCTCTGGGGATAGATCTAGCAACATTTTCCAGTGGTCTGAAACAGGAGTCTGCAAATATGACTCATGGGTCAAATCAGGTGTACTGCCTGTTTTTATAAATAAAGTTTTATTGGAACAGGGCCGTGTCTATTCATTTGCATGTTGTCTAGGCTACTTTTGTCATAAGGACAGAGCTGAGTGGTTTTGACAGAGACTGTTATGGCACATGAAGCCTAAAATAATTATTAATTGGCTTATTGCTGACCTGTATTGTTATGTGATTTGGTTGATACTTTAGGCATTCAGTTCCTCAGGTTACTTACTATCCTGGGCTTGTACAGTGTCAACATAATGGTAGATAAAGTTTAAAGCCAATTCATTAAGTAATTTGTTCGATACCAAAAATTGATTCGATTGAACATCTTCCTTAAAAGTGATGGAATTGCATGTAATGAACTTGACACCCCTGTTAGAAAGAGAATGATTTGGATAACTACATTTTATTGTTGTTCCTTGAGCTACATGATAAAGAAAAACAGGTTAATTGATTTTCTTTGAATTGGCTGGGTGTTTCGTGTCCCACGGACTTGGCCTTGGTATGCCTTTACTATACTGCCCAGGGAGGCACCTTAGGAGCAGAAAAAAGTTATTGTCAAAGTATTATGACACAAATGTGACTTTGCTTTCAGACAATTTGAACAATGTTTATGTTTAGCAAACATAAATTAGGGTGTCAAGTTTCTCATACTATAGAATTCTGGTCTTAGGATTTACCCTAGGGTTTCACTGAATAGGAATCATTTTTAGGCAGTTAAAGAGAAGGAAAAAAAATGTGTGATATACATATAATTTTTGGAACCTTGGAATCTCTTGCATAAATTCAGACACACAAACAAGAATTAATTTATCTGTGGACAACCTCTGATATTTCTGCTCTGTTACAGCCTTTGCTTATTTAGTGAGCCTAATAAACACCTCTGCTTACTAAGTCTGTCTGTTGATTCAATGGATCTTGCTGTTACAGAGAAGTAGAAGTCAAAGAAGACAAATTCACAGGCACCTTCTGCAGGTGGAATATGGGACATCTACCAAGTATGCAGATTTAATTAGTGAAAGAGATGATTTTCAAGGTGAATATGTTACCGCCTCCTGTCTGTGTTTACTAAAGAAAAATGATAAATTTGTTCTCTCTACACCCAAAAAGTTACTGAGTCAGACACTTTGAAAGCTCTCTTCAAATTCACACTTGTAAATCTGTTTTTTTGTGAGGAACAAAAAGAATCAAAGTTGTCTATACTTGTTCACCAAATGTCCAAACATTTGATTCATTAAGAAGTCCTGTCATGTATGCTTTTAACTTTTCCATTACAAAGTAAGTGCATAAGCTTTTTCGTAAAAAAGTTAATTTTTCTGACTAAAGGAAAATATCCACCAATTTCTCATTCTGAGCCAACTAAAGTTTGGCTGATTGATTTTGACCATTACCTTAATTTTTACCTTTCTGAAATGCTTAGGAACTCTCTGATTTTCTCATTTTTGATAAACAATGCTTGGCAAGAGTAAGTCTGGCTTGGATGAGAGGGGATTTTCTGAAGCCCTCTTGTCTTAGTTGTATGACACTGTGATCAGGGGCATTATTGTACACAAGAGACATGGACTCTACTTTCCAATCTATAGATAATCAGGTTTTGGAACCTTTGCTCAGCCATCAGTTCATCAGTCTCAGATGAACTGGAACTAGGCTTTTCCTGACTTAGGACAAGGAAACTGAACTTGGTTGAACTTCTTTTTCAAGTTCTAATAGTTGATTTCTCCTAAGTGCTTATCAAATATATTTTAGATCAAGAGTCCTTCATTTAATAGAAAGGATTCTTGCATTAGAGTAGTCCTTTTCAACCTTTGCTATACATTGTAATGCCTGGGGAGATTTATGGAACAATGATGTCTGGGTCCTAACCCAGAGTTTCTGGTTAAATTTTGGGCAGTGGCATTTTCAAATACTTTTTTGGGTGATTCACATGTTCAGTTAAGGTCAAGAATTCCAACTTGGAGATTGAAACCAATGGATTCTAATGTACCTTTTAGTCTGTATACTAGTATGAGAAGGCCATGCTCCATCCTTCAAATAGTGAAAGTAGGGACTTTGGGGAGATATGTACTTACTTGGTGCCATGCTGTGTATCAAATGCTCTGCTGGATCAATTTGGATTACATTTGGGTGCTAGTGAAGAGACTTGACATATTAGAGATCTAAATAAAACAATAGTGTACATTCATATAAATAGAAGTTCTTAGGAGGCTATTCAGGACTCCATGGAGTGGAGTCCAAAATATCCCAG